TAACTCCCCAATTATGTTACCTTGGACTTGTGCAATTTCTTAGAGAAACAGAAGAGATGGTTAGTCCAATGGTTTAATAAAAAGCTCCTAGAGACACTAATGGAATCAAGACTCTATTTAATAATCATTTGTTAAAAGCTGAGACTGAAGAAGATTTATTTGAGGATGGGAATTTAAAAATAAACTTAAAATTTTTATTTGGCACCTACACATAATGGTGAAAACATTTGTATTGCCTTCAGAAGGAAAATTATATTTATTTTTTAATTTAAACTGTATATTATGTTCTGAGTAAAAGGACAAGCAGAAACTACATTGTTATAAAGGTTATCTTCCTGCCTCCTTTATGTAATGTGCTCTCAAATTTCTTAACATTTGTATAAGTAATAATGCTCCTAGAAAAAATATCCCACATAAAATCATTATAGGAAACGTTCTGCAACCCTTGCCACGTCTTTGCCACTTAACATTTTGTGATTGTAGATGATTGGTCTTTTTCTTTACATTGTCATCTACACTGGTCACTTTATTGACTGTTCATCTATACAGTTTTTGCTTCAGTTGACATCCTTCCCTCCATTTTTGGCCAGGTTAAGGTTATATTGTGGATATCTACTTATTTTATTTTTGTTAAAAGTTTATAATGTAGCTAGGAAAATTGGAATGAAAGCACAGCCTGTCTACTTTGAGTATTTATTTTATGAAGGATTTTTCTTTCAAATGTTCACTCTTTTGGGGAAACAATACATAAAGCTTCAAGGAAATGGGTATTTCTTTCCATTAAATTGCTGACTTGGGATATTGAAGGAAATCTCTACACAGTGTGAAATAGCTTATGAAATTTTTCTGTTTAGGAATAAGAAAGTACATTCTTTTTCTCCTATCTTCATACCACTTATTAAAATATATGAGCCTAGTTATATTGATTATGGTCTTTTTAACATTTGAAAATGTGCTATTGGGTGGTCAGAACACATTCTTAGAGTCAGATGAACTGGATTTGAATTCCCAACTTTACGGAATCAACCTTGGCAAATTATTCAGTTACTATGATCCTTATTTCCCTCTTCTTTAAATGGTGGTTGTATCTGTTTACTTAGATGATTTGAGAATGAGATGAGGACAGCACAGTGCCTTGTACATCATAAATTCATTCTTTCCTCTCTCCTCAACTCTAGCTTTTCAACTGATCCATGAAAGCAAATAGTAAGTTAGTTAAGTGAATAGTGCAGCTGATTTAAGATGGTTATCAGATATTCCTGTTCATAGAGCTAATAAGGAGCAAAATCTATAAACAACAAAATTTGTCGGGAAACAACCTGACCACTTTATATATAGTGGTCCTTTGTTGTGCATTTTTCTAGTCAAGAAAAATGTTCAGCCATGCTTAGCAGACTAGATTCACATTGGCATAGGAAAGCACAAGAATAATTTTAGACTAGAATAAAAAGCAACTGAATGGCTTGGTGAAAGTAAATTCATCTGAATAGTATTTTGCAAAAGTTAGCATGCATCAGAGCTTAGTTCCAGAGACTGTAATTCAGTAAATCTAGTATGGACCCAAGAGATTTGGGCTCATTTTGATCTCTTAATAGTAACTTTGAGGCTATTATAGGTGGTAAAAGTTTAAGCCAATAAATAGAAAGAGTGTAACTGGCAACTTTGTCCATATTATTTTAATGCTATTTTCATATTAGTCCAGATAAGTAAATTCAATAAATGAAACTGACTGAAAATGATTCCTCTTTAATGTCTATAGACGTGCTCAAAACCTAGAGTCAGTCTTCATTTTATATAATCTGAGGCAAAGTCCTGATCATAGAACCTTTAAGGCCATAAAGTACATGTGCTGCATTATACAACACAAGATATGTGGAAATCGATTTACAAAAGCTAAATTGGTGGGTGATGTTTCGGATTAGAAAACAAAAAGGATTTACTTCAAGGATCCTTTATCACATGGTCCCTTGAGGTACTTGAAATATTATTTGATTTATACAAAATAAAATTTCACTCAGCTTTTCAGGAAGACATGTATCATGTAAAACAAAAATCTATAAATGTTTGGGAGAAAGGAGGAAGAAACTCAAGAGTTCTCTAAACTTTAGATGGCTGAGGCACTCTGTTGCTTTAAGGTCACTATCCTTAATAGAAAGGTAAATAATCAACTGTGGACTTTTTTAAACATGAATTTTTACCCTAACATAAAAAATGTAAATATAAGCAGCTTCCTAACTCATAGTAAATCGTAATGCAAGCCACAAGAGACCTTTGTAAGTAATTCTTCACTGCTTTGGTATATTTTTAAAGAAATTTTCAGATGTTTCTTTCCCATTACCCAGTTGATAGTAAAATGAAGCACAGTCGCTGATTGTCAATTTACCAAACCCTCGTGCCTATCTCAGAGTTTTGAAAGCCTTGACCCTGGATGCCTTGCCCTTGGTACTTCTCTAGTTAGACAGCTGTGGTGAGTTGAAAAGGTAACGCAAGTAGTTAGAGGCTATTACCGCAAGACCAACTCGTCTGGATTTCTTAATGCATAACCAACACATCTGAACCTTGGGACTTTTTATGTGTTTTGAGGTTGTTATACTATTACCCTGAGTGATAAACTGGTAAGAGCTATGGCAATGTAAGATGTTATTGTATCTACTCTAGAGATTTCTCACCCTCTTTTCTGCGGGCATGTATCTGCTGGTCCTGTTAGCTTTCCCTTTATGTGCTGCCATCTACCCAGCAGATGATCTGCATCTGATTTTCTTTCTTCCAGTTTGCTAATCATTTACATCGAGTACCTGTTTTATGCTTTCAGTTTATTTGCTTATTTTGAATGGTTAGTTTTAGAGATGATACCTGTCTTCCAGTCAGGAGCAGACAAAAACAAATATATTTTTAATCCCATATACAGTGGTTTTATTTTAGAAAATATTTTTGCAAAAAAGATTTTGCTATTTCTAAGCAGTTTGTGGAGTTATACTGATCTGATTTCAAGTCAGGATTATGTCATTTGTCTCAAATGATAAATTTGGGCAAGTTTTCCTTCTAAAAATATGATTTATATTAAAATCTGTATGACTTCATGGTTTTGGCAGTAAGACTAGAGACAATAAAAATGAGTTGATCAGTAATATGTTATTTGCTTACTAGCATATGTTTTTAGCATCTATATATCAGTTTGGATGAATTATATTTCATTTTTATTAGGAGAATAGAGAAAATCATTCTCCATTAAGCTAGGTTTAAGAATTCATGGTTCTTTCAATAAGTATTTTCACTGAAACAAGAAAAGGACAAAAAATTATAAAGGTTTCCCCAATTAGCTCTGAATTGAATGTTTGTTCAGTCAAAATGTGTTAAACATATGTCCAACCTTGCGCTGTTGATCTATTTTATAACTGTACACACAATCTCAATATTGGTGGTCTTTGGTTTTTTTTCCCTTGTGCTTCTCAATTTTATGTCTATACCTTGGGGCCTATACACATCCACTTCTTGGAAGCAACTGTTCTACACATTTACAAATGATATGAGATATCAAAAATTTATAATTTGCTATACTTTTTTAATAAAGAATTTTAATGTGAGAGCCCAGAGTAGCACACAGAAAGAGTCCGTTTAGCCCATATATTATACAGACAGAGGAACTGAGTTAAATTAGGGATCACTAAACAACATGTCAAACATTATTTCATTCTGTTCAGTATCTGGAAATTCTCTGGCCCTTATCAGAGAAGGAAGATTTATAGTATAGCGGAAAGGTTAATAAGCTCTGAATTTTGACCTGCTCCATTTCTGACCTGGGCCAGTTCACCTCTCTTTAGGCAACCTGGTGGTCCCCTCACTCCCGGGACGTCACCATATTGATCCTCAAGTGATCCTCTTTCTTTATCCTCCCAAGTAGCTGGGAGTAAAGGTGTGCATGAACACGCCCCGCTAATAGGCTCTGAATTTTCAGAGTGCCTTTAACTTCACCAATTACTAGTCCCATGTTCTTGGGTGAGTCTCAACTTCTTTGAGATTAATGTGTCTTCATAGGGTGGTTATGAAGACAAAATAGAATAATTTATGTGGAATGTGGTTTGTAAACTTTAAAACACTGTAAATTTATTGTTTGCTGCAGCTACTGCTGTTACTGTAGCCACGTTGGGTTAAATTGCATTTTTCAACTCCAAACACAAGCATTTCAGTTGTTTAAATAGGTGAGTAAGAGGAAGGGAGACATGGGGACAGGGTGGTTAGAAAGAGGAAATAGGAGATTATTGAATGCTGAAAAAGAAGGTTAGAAATAAAGATTTTAGATGCAAATATATAAATTGCAAATGTATGATTAAGATACTAGACACAATCTCCTCTAGCAGGTTTTCATTTTCCCCAACCCCTTACACCCCTAGATGTGGCAGAATAAAAATTAAGCAAACAAGTAACCCCAGCACCTTTTTTTTTCTCTTGTAAAATCCTTTGGATTTAATTTCAAATATGAGAAATATCAAAATTCTTAGTTTATTTTGCTCTTTCTGTAGTAAGTCCTCCGATGCACAGAACATTCCAAGGTGACTGCTTCTATTTTTAGTTATTTACTTTAGATGAACTTAAAACGTTTAAGAAAGAAAGCAGTTTGTGTCAGGGTATCAAGGGTGTATATTTGTGAGGCTCCCTGGAACCTTAAAATTTCTAAAAATCATTTGTCAATTTGAAAATGTCTGGAAAGAGGTATAAAGTGCTTATTTACACAAATTAAAAGATGTTTGAATCTTTGCAAGGACAACTTCTAATGAGAGAAAATTGCAAATGACGTTTTGGTTTACATAATAAATAAAAATTTGCATCTGATTTCAGATCCACACATAATAAATTTATAATTAACCTTCTGTAGATTTGCTAACTGCAAAGCAAAGTCTCAAAGTAGAAGATCAAGAATACTCTGACAATAATACATTGCAAGGAAATTAGAAATTGGAAAAAATAGAGATTAAAAGTAAACGTAAAATGACAGTTTTTTAGAATAGCAAATAATTTATGCAAAATATGTTACAAAATCTGGGATGTTCAATAGTTGATACAAGTACTATGACATTTAGTTTCATTTAAATTAGTAAGAGAGTTTGCTCTTCCAATATAGTAGTTTTTTTCTTTCTGACTTTGTATGCTTTCAACAAAAACTTGCTCTACATTTTTAAAGTTCATTCTTCTTGAAGCTGCTCTTAAATTTGCCATGATAAACCTGCATAAAACTACACTTTTGAATTTCTTTGAAAGAAATAAAAAATTAAGTTTGATACGGGTTTTCATAAATTCTTTTCTTCATTGTTTTTGACTGTTTGATCCCTGTTAGATTGACATACTCAACTTATTTTTGATGTCATGAATTTAAAATGACAACAGAAAAAAACACTTCTCCTAGTGCAACAGCAATTGAAAATTATAGTTTTATATTAAAAAAACCCACAAAAGAATGTGTGAATACCATAGATAAAATAACAATATTTTCAAACAATACGTTGTGTCAAGCAAACAGAAACAAGTTGGTTATTTAAGCCTCTGAAAAATCAGATTTTCATAACTTGATTGAACTAACTGTATAATACAATTGAATAATCAATGTATGATCTGGGGTGGCTTCAAATTACTCTGGGTTATTTTTTACATAATTGGGAGGTGAATCTTATTATGAATAGCATTATAAACAATTTAGAACATATTAAGGATGTTTACAGTTGACTTGAGTGATAAAATTCTCCACCATGGCTCATATCTATATTGAATGAGCTCTAGATGTTTAGAGTTCTTCCTCAGGAGAAAAGCGATGTAGCACACAAAGTGGAAAAATTCATATATTTCCTTTGAGATGTTCCTAAAATAAAGCTCACCATTCTAAATGAGAAATTGTCTTAAAAACCAGGCACATTTTGCACTCATGGTTATTTTTAGGTAAACCACTTTGGGTTAATTAAGAGAAAAATTGCTCCTGTACAGATATTATGCTTTATCCTCCCACCTTGGCCTGAAATAATGAGATGTGCCAAGTTTTCCTTTGTCACTGGCAGCTGCACCTTTTAAGTTTATCAAAGTCTGTTGCTGTGGTTACGGCCTTTGTTTCCAGTGATGTTTTGTCCATGCTTCCCCTGACCCTTAACAGTGGGTTACTCAAAAGAATGAAATAATGAGTCATTCATTCAGAAATATGTTGTTAAAATATTCCTCTTTATCATTACATTTCACTGCTTAGAAACTAGGCTGTAATTCAAGGCAACAGTTAAGTCTGAGAAGTGTTAAAAAAAATCTTTGATTTTTTTCATTTATAAGAAAAACCTGTCTATGTAATTGAAGAACTTCTTACAAGTCCCAACAATTAAACCCTTTTTGGTTAATGTATTATTTCTGGAACAAGTAGATAAAATTCTACGCAGTAAGCATGATAAAAATCGTGCATGTTTCGCACAGCACAGAATTTTAGAGTCAAGGTTTCTGGGCACAAAAGCAGTAACAAAACAGTCCCTACAAAACTGAGTAACTCTGAATAAACACAAGAAATAATTGTTGTTAATTTAAAATTTTAGAAACTGAAATGTGTAAAGTTTGTAAAGTAAAATGTAATTAAATTATGGTACTGTATACCAGTTTCTATAATTGAAACTTTACAATATGAAAAATACATTAGCTCTGTACAGTTTTTACAGATAGGTAGGATGAGTTTTGAGAAAAAAAGATTCTTTTTTTTTGCAGGGTCATACTCTAGGTCAAAAAAATACTGCACAACTTAGCTAATTACAAAGTGTAGACTTGAAACAATTCATGTCTTCTTTATTTCATGAATCAATCTTGGATTTTTGTTTATTTTAACAGGGGATTTGTTTTGTTTTGTTTTGTTTTGTTTTTAGAGTCCACAATGAACAAATCTTCCTCATTTTGTCCTTGAGGTTACAAAGTTTGGTGGCAACCTTTGGTTACCGGTTAGTTCAGTTAAGCCAGCTGCTGTTTATGTTCACTGATTCGGCCAGCTGTTGTGATTGTGCTCAGGTCCAGCTCAGTCTCTAGGTGTGTTTCCATCGTATCTTCCTGTGCATTCGTTTCAAAGGACTTGTGAGAGAGAAGTTCATGATGCACCCCACAGTAACTTATTGTGGGCTGGTCGTATGCCAGAAAAGTTGACACATTCATTGATAAAGGTATCTGGGGAAAAATGACATGAGAAAAGTCAGTTATAAAAAGACAAACAACTTTGGGGACAAGACTTGGAGACTGTGAAGTGCTGAAGTGACTCACCTCTATGGTTACCTCTGTGGCTCAGGAGTCCCCACGCTATCCCACTAATGTCCCTCATTCTCATACTAATAAGCACAATGCAACAGTTTTAAAAGCCTGGGATGGAGCTGCTTAATTCTTAAGTAGAATCTTCAGAGAAATAGGAGACTGAGTGATTCTGAAAATGCTAAAAACTTTATTGGAAAAGTTAGAAAAATGTGTTTCCTCAGTAGGATAAAATTGTGGTATTAGAACTAAGAAAAGTATTATTTGGTTATCTATGATATTGGAATACTACTGAACAGTGATTCTCAAACTTTATCATTCAAGAAAATCACCTCCCCTTTCTTCTACTCCAATCTCCACTTCCCTGATTTTTTGAATTTAGTAGGTCTGGGGTAGGAATTTGCATTTGCATTTCTTGTAAGTTCCCATGTGATACTGCTGCTGTGAATCCATACACCACACTTTGAGAACCACTGTAGAAGAGAATTGTCTAGGTAAGTCATTCTGGCTTTTTTTACCCGATAACTTTTTTGTTTTTTTAATGGTTGATGGTTTTTATTAAGGATGCTCTTTCATTGTAGTTAATACATAGGTTTTCTAAAGACTTTCACTGAACCACCCCTAACCCAATAACTTTTTAATATTTATTTCACCATGAGGATTCTTGAAACATTAATGTATGTAGCTTGATCCATATATCCAAAATCTAAAGTTTAGTGAACTTCTAGGAAGAATCTATGACTGCTATGAAGGTCTAACAAGCAACAAAAGATGATACTAGTTTGAAGGAATCATGATAAATATAGATATGGAAGGGACTCTCTTGCTAACTGCAGCTAAATGAAAAATAATTTCTAAAGTATGAGGAAAAAAGCAAGGGTGACCATTGTGAGCAAAAGGGAAACGTACATGTTACAGACAAAAGGTAGTTTGAAATGTAATCAGATGTCAACATCTATTCCCATTTTTTTCAATAAGATAAAAAAATTTGTCCTAAAAAGTAGGCAGATTTGAGGAAACTTCAGCCTTGATTTCTGTTTAATATCCTAATTACCAATTCATGTTGTTGAGTTACCTTGGATAAAAGCTTCTGCTGTTCTCATTTGGTAAGTGGATAAAATATATTTCTGTTTAAGCACATCAGATTAAACTCCTTTCTGATCTCAGCTAAGATTGGAGCCCAAAGCTAAGAAAAACAGAATGCCTAGGTTTTATTCTCTTAGTTAACTTCTTCTTTACTTTCTTTGCCATTTTCTCCATGCATAAGAACCCTCTTTGCCTCTTCTCTTTCCATCCCAGTCATTCTACCTATATATATTTCTCCCTTAGTAAAAATTAGTTGACCAAATATTTCCTTATTTTCTCTTGAATAAAAGTATTCACTTCAAGATTATTACTTGGTTTTAATACGAACCTTTCAATGCATCAAATACGTAGGGCTTAGTCCTTGAAGACAGAAATGTAATCCTGTTCTTCAAAACTACATTCCTGAGAACGCTTCCTATTTATGTGAATTTTTTTAATTTGAAACATGTTTACTGATGTGTGAATAAAAGACATCATACACTTTTTAAAAAATGATCAAGATGACTGAAAGATCACAAAGAAAATAATAGGATGCTTCCAAATATGCTCATTTAAAATATTACAGTAAGAACTCTTGTTGTTACAGATGAAATAACTCAGAAAACTAAAATATATCATTATGCAAAAATAATGGTACGGCATGAATAGATTTGAGTTATAGGAGCGAATGAAAATAGAACTGTTATTGAGTACGTGAGTTTAACATTAGCCTCTGAGAAATTGATGCTCAGTAATGTGTTATGGGTCATGTATCTGTAGGATTTTATATACTTGTTCTTATTTGTCATGGAAACATGCTTCATATATACAATATCATTCCTGGCTTACTTGGAATTAACCCTACTGTGAATAATTTGTAATTTCTGTGGTGATGATTTATGAAAAATAATAAACCATGATACATTTATTCTCTGTGTGTGTGTGTGTGTGTGTGTGTGTGTGTGTACACACACAATTGCCTGCTTGATTTACTATCTAGAGGCTGCTAGTATCCAAAGAGCAAGTCCTGATTTGAACCATATCAGTTATGGAGTTACCTCTCATTATTTATTTTTAAAAGTCTCACATATTTTCTTTAGAGAGTTTCTTATTTTTGAATATGTTTTATTTTAAAACACCTAACCCCATAGTTATACTTTCAAAGTTAAGTCATATTTTTCACATTTTAATCTTTCTGAAATTAGGATGGTACTTATAATCAACGTGGTTGTGAAACATGTATTTTCTTCCCCGCAACTGAAAGTGTTTCTTAACGGTGACTATGTCTAATATCAAGAAAATAGCATAGTCTATCTGGGAGTTCAAAATTTGTAGATACGGACAGGCATATGTAGAATAGATAAACAAGATTATTCTGTATAGCTCAGGGAAATGTATACAAGATCTGGTGGTAGCTCACAGTGAAAAAAAATGTGACAATGAATATATGTATGTTCATGTATAACTGAAAAATTATGCTCTACACTGGAATTTGACACAACATTGTAAAATGACTATAATTCAATAAAAATGTTAAAAAAATAATTGGTAAGTTTGAAAGAAAAAAGAGAAGAGCATAGTAAGTTGTATTAGGTAGAATTTAACAGCTAAACATATCTGAATGCAACATCACAGTAGATTTTTCCCAAGTTGACTTAAATGACTTTGAAAATCTTAAAGAGTTAGTGTTAGATATGTTCACATGTATATTTATAGGAATACACACACATATTGATATACATACATATATACACAGTATATAAATACATACATACATACATACACATACATATATAATCTTGTGGCCAATTATGATTTACTTATGATTTCAAAATTATTTAAATCAAGTATGGAAAATACAAAGTATGGTGGTATTTTGGTTTTGGGCAATTATTACGTATTTGTTATCTATATAAAATATATACGTAGATATATAGTGTATATAGAGAGATAGTATTTATACACACACACACATACACACAGTGGCTGGGTAGTGATGGAGAGACTATCCACTAGTATTAAACAAATACCTTGAGGCTCAGATACAACCCATGTAAATGCCTTCTTTTCACCAAGTCAGTAAATAGAGCAGCCCCTTCTTCCTTTCATAGCTGTCAGTCATGTGACCTTGTGCCCTTAGTTTTCTTTTCACTTTCCTGTCTGACCTTGGTGTCCTCTATTCATTCTCTCTGCCTCTGTCCCTTTCCCCATTTTTACTTGATTTATATTAATATGCTGAAGCAGGAGAGACACACAGCCATGCTCTCCTCTATGGACAGAGTGTTCAACAGGACAATCCCAGTTTATGCTTATCGCCCATTTTACAAATAGTCAAACACTTAGTTAATCTATCTGAAGACAACCCAAATATGTTATTTCATAAAATGAAAGTGAACATCAAACCTGAGTGCCTGACTAGCTAGTCAGAATGGTTCTGGGAAGGGCAGTAGGAGATGAAAATCTAATAAGGCTCTGCTTTCCCAGGCCTTTTGTTAGAGGGCCCTACTTAAAGTGTCCATAGAATCTTCTTGTCATATCTTTCTGAGAGAATAATTTTTTCCAGTGTATTTTAACCTGGTAAACTCCTATTTATAATTACTAATGATTTCCTTCAGTCAGTGTTTTCCAGGTGAGCTGATTATTCTTAAGGCATAACTTATAGAGATCTGGGGATATGAAAACTTCCCAGAAAGCAATAACATCTAGAATCTGAGCTAAGAAATAATTACGTGCTATTCTAATGATGAGAGGTAGTAACTATCCCATTATTTAGGAAGTTCCCCTCGGGAAAAATTTCTGCTCTGCTAAACTAGTTACTGTCTTGACATCAAATGATATTTGCCTAAGCAGTAATTTTCAGTGTCTTTCTCAACATCAATTATATGTACCTTTCATATACAAAAATTTTGTAATGTTTGATGAACAACAATAACTCATTATTAAGTCTTTTTCCCATTCATGTATAATATTTGAGCTTTTGACTTTAAGGGGGAAAATAGCTTTTTTAAGTTTCTAATTTGTGATTAAGTAAAAATGGTCATTTTAATCTTATATTCACTGCATAAATAATATCTATGTATATTTTTACAAATATATGTGTTTAGATATGAACATGTATATGTATTACTCATATTCTAATTAGTTGGTTAGAAGCCACTTTTATGTTAGATAGCAAGGACTTCTAGGTAGAGTCATTAGTCTGAAGAACAGAAAAAGCCAGTCTACTTTTGAGAGGGAATAATAAAAAGGCTGTTTTTCTTTCCCTCTCTAAAATTGTAAAACATAGGAAATGTTTGCCTGTTAAGTGTTATTTCTGAGTAGAATTTTTGGTAAGTATAAATGTCTATTGTTTGTCTTTGAGAAGAATCCCCATGCTGCTCCCATATATCACAGGGGAAATCTTCCATTTTTATAAGAGCAAATGTTATATAGCAAGTGTTCTACTTCTCTGGGTTGTTGAAAGGATGATACTTCAGGGGTTTTGTAACTAACAGGGTTTTGTTTTTCAATAATCTGCATGTACGGAAAGAAAGAGACTTGTTTCATGAAGGAGTTAATTGTTTGAGATGTAGCCTTTATCATTATCAAGGCATATTTTTCTTCATTTCTTGTAGTTCAGAGGCCTGTTATTTTATGTTTGTTTTTCATCTGCTAAATTTAATGAATTTTCAGTTGAGTTGATTTTTACCTATTAATATATAAAATAAGAAACAGGCATTATATTATTTTTCCAATTAATAATATTTCTCTAATTTGTCTCTAAATTTGTCTCAAACTGGGCTCATTTTCTCTGGATCCAAACTAACTTCTTCCTTTGGTCCTTATTATTCTGTTTGTGGGAACACCAAATTAAGTCA